GGCTCTGCAGCTGCCTGGCTTGCTCTGGTGTCAGGCTCCAGGCCAAGCTCTTGCCTCTCTCCTCGGCTGACAGGCGAGGCTCACAGTGCACAGCCCAGATGGCTGGGCCCCAGCTCTCCCTCCCCCCCACGCTTTCCTCCCTCTGAAGGGAAATGGAGCTCCGGATCAGCCGGCCAGGGTCAGGGGAGGAGGACTGGAGCTGCGATGTCAAGAGTGAGTGCAGTGAACCAGGGCCAGGGGAAGCCACCCCGCTGTGCCCCAGCGTGAAGAGCACCCACCCGGACGGGCTGCTGTTGGGAACTGGCGGCTGGCACAGCAGCTCTAGGCAGCCCAGCCCTGTCCTGGAAGGGGAGGTGAGAGGGGGGGAATTTGGGGAGGAGGGGTGTCAGACCCCCAGTGGAGCATCCTTGAGTAATTACCTGTTGGTAGAGTCCCTCATCACAAGAAAGAGGCCATGCTGATCCTTCCGTTGGCTTCGTCATTGGCTGGGGGCAGCCCACTTCCCTGTCTCTTGCTACATGTCTCCTGAAGGTCAAGGGCTCTCTCCTACCCAGGTCAGGCCTGCATTGTGGTCTAAAGGGTCTTCCCCCATCCCTGGCTCTCTCCCTTTTATCCTTCACAGCCATTCTCCCATAAATCTCTTGTATGTGTAAACTCAAGCTGGTATCTGGTTTTTTTTTTTTTTTTTTTTTTTACGGTGTGCGGGCCTCTCACTGCTGTGACCTCTCCCGTTGCGGAGCACAGGCTCCGGACGCTCAGGCTCAGCGGCCATGGCGCACGGGCCAAGCCGCTCCGCGGCATGCGGGATCCTCCCGGACCGGGGCACGAACCCTTGTCCCCTGCATCGGCAGGCGGACTCTCAACCACTGCGCCACCAGGGAAGCCCGGGTATCTGGTTTTTAGAGGATCTGAACCATCACACGTACGGTGTGTGTTCCTCTGTGTCTGGTTCCCTTCTGTGTCATCTGTCAGTGAGAGCCACCCAGGTCCTGGAGAAGGAAGGCAGTGCTTCGGATATAGCTCGTGTCCTCTTCCACATGATAAGAGGCCTTATGGCTGCTGGACCTTTGGTGGTCCTCTAGTGCCACATCTGGGAGGGCCAAGGCCCCTGACAGTATCCCCTGACAGGTGGTCATCTGGACGCTGCTTGAACATCTCCAGGGAGAGGTCACTGTGAGGCCATTGGAGGGCAATGCAAATTGCTAGAAAATTCTTCCTTGTGCCGGTCACTCCTCCAGTGGTATGGCTGCCATTCACTCATTTCTTCTTTCTTTGGAGGAGCATTACCAGAGGCCCGCCATCAGAGCCTGTGTGAGACCTCACTTCCGACAGGGCAGTGGGGAGCAGATGGGAGTGGCATAGGCCCAGCCCAGGGCCTTTCCTCCGTGCAGGGGTGTTGGCACAGGTGAACCCCAATGGGGGTTGGCAGGAGGTAGTGAGAAGGGACGAGAAGTACCGCCCCCAAGTTTTCTGTAGCTGCAGGCTGAGTGCCCCAGCTTTCTCCTTGAACATATAAAACCCTCCTTTTGCTAAAAGTGGATAAAAACCTCTGGTCTTCTGCCTCACTGGCCTGGTTTTAAGTCCCAGCTCTAATTCCTAGGGGTTGCGTGTTCTTGAGACCTCACTCAAACTTTCTGCAGCTCAAGCTCCACTTACATAAAATAGGATAATAATACTTACTCCCAGATCTCTTCGAGGATTATATAATTTGATGTTTGTGAAGCACGCCTGGTGGAAGACAAGTGTTAGCTAACTGACACCTAGGCAGCAGCCCGGCTCACAGTTACGAGCTGCTGGTCCCGGATGTGAGTTTGGTGCTGCATGCGTACGGTGGGTTGAATGGTGACCTCTGAAGAGGTATGTCCACATCCTGATCCCTAGAACCTGTCAATGTGACCTGATGTGGAAAAAGAGTCTTTACAGTTGTAATTAAATTGAGGCTCTTGAAATGAGGTCATCCTAAATTATCTGGGTAAACTGTAAATCAATAACAAATGTCCTTACAAAAGACAGAAGATGTCCTCACCCAGACCACAATGAGCTGATAGAAGGAGTTGCAAGGGGCTCCTTGGGGCTGATTAAATTGTGGAGCTGAAGTGAAGGTTTGCCATCTTAACAATGCACCCCTTCCTGCCAGAGCAGATGGTACAAAGGCTCGCTTGCTTTCGGTATTCATGTCTTTGTAACTGAAAAAAAAACGCATTTTTGAAGTAAAGAGAGCTGTAAAATGAATGAAGCATTATGCAATATCTTGTAAATGTGAAGAAAAAAGAATAGCTACATGGGTGTTGACAGAAGTCTGAGTTTGAAGAAAGATCCCATTCATGCCCAAAGTATCAAGCCTGCTCTCCTGCCGGCCTTCTCCGGTCTTTCCTTCAGAACATATTCGCTATGCTTCGAGTTTGTGCCGCTCGAATTGTGTTAAGTGTTGAGGACATAGATGCGAACAAGCAAGACAGTCTTTCTCCTTTCTGGGCATGCGGCCTAGGAGGGGAGAAGGGCGTTAACTAAAACGCAGACACATCATTTTAAACCACGATAGTGGTTAAGTGTTATGAATTGCCTTGGTGCCCTTGACGAAATTCAACGATGGTACACGTGTGGGTCTATTTCTGGGTTCTCTATTCTGCCCGTTGATCTGAGTCTCTCTCCTTTCATTAATACCACACTGTCATCTGCTACAGGAAGTCTTGAAGGCAGGGGGTGTACATCCTCCAACTTCGCTCTTTTCCAAAATTGCTTTGGTTCCTGTGGTTCCTCTCTTTTCCTATCTAATTTTTAGCACCTGATTTTTAGATTCAACTAGCCAGATATGTCAGGTGTTATGAAGGAAAGGTCCGTGGAGCAAAAGATTTTTCAGAAGCGAAGTTTTAGCAGTCGAAATTTTAGACCTGAATGTTAGATCATAGGCAAATGATAGATGAGGAGAAAGTTAACTTCTTTGTTATTTTTTTAGGTTTTGCACAAGCGACTCTGAGATTCTATGATCCTTTCACAAATGCTTTGAGGGAACTGATGGTTGGATGTGGGTCAGAACTATTTAGAGCTGCCCAAACCATCCTTTGTGTATTTTTGCTTCTTTTACTCGTCCTTAATAACAAAAGGCTAATAACAAAAGGGTAAGTGAAACTGGAGACATGATGATGACCTCGAAAACAGAATGTCAGGGAGAGGTGGGGAGGAAGAGGCCATCTGGGTGGCCGTGGCCTTAGACCAGACCACCAGGATGGTCTGTAGGCGGATGTGTTCGCAGTCCCCAAGCCCCTCCTACGTGGGCCGATAGCGCAGAGCTGGAGCGCTCCATCCAGTGATTTAGGGACCAGTCCTGTCTGGCTGATTCAAACGTGAGAGAAGGTGATGGGCCCCAAATCTGTCCAGGTAGGGGGCCTGCTTCTTGCCCGGGGAGTCCTAGTGGTCCTTGCCATGCTGGGAGCTGGCAGAAGCCTCCTTGCTCTGTGTTGTCCTGGGCAGCATCGTGCTTCAGACTGTGCACTGCTCCCCACTGGGAGGTGGGTGGGCAGATCCTGCAGGCTGCACAGCACCCTCCCGGGCCTTTGGCCCTCAGGAGACAGGCAGCAAGAGACAGGGAGGTGGAAGCTCAGGATGTCTGGGGTCTCCCAGGCAGAGACAAATGAGAGCACTGGGGGCAGCACGAAGCTACCAAATTGTCCCATAGACTGAGCCGGCAGCCCAGTCCTCTGCCCCCAGAGGAGGCAGGGAGGTCCTGAGACATGGAGGACAAGATTCCTGCGCTCCAGAGCCTCACGTCCTGCTAGAGAAGGAGAGGGGCCCTTCCCAGACCAGGGGATCTAAAAACGCCCCAACACTCACACGGCGGCAGCGAGGGGCAAGGGCAAAGGCACTGGTCTCAGGGTCGAGACCAGCCTCTTATCCGACCTCAGCCAATGCCTGGGTCCATGACCTTGGACAGTCATACAATTTCTCTAAGCCTATTTTTCTTCACTGCAAAATGGGATAGTCCTTCTGCCAGTCTTTCAGGACGTTTGAAAATCAAAACAAATAGTAGACAGAGGAATGGGTAGATGAACAATCCTAACTGCAGACATGAATATGGTGTTTACTGTGCACCCAATATCGGTCGAAGCCCCTTAGATACATGAAGTCATTGAATCCCCACACGGCTCTCACGATGGAGGTACAGTTATTATGCCCATGATGCAGATGACGGAAACAAGGTTCTGAACAGTAATGGAAGCTGCTGAAGGTCAAGTGGTGGGGCTGGGATTTAACACAGATCTGTCTGACTCCAGAACATTTGCTCTGAAACATGGCACTCTTGTGTCTTTAATGAAAATACTCCGGGAACCGCACAGTACTGTACAAACCTAAAAGTTATTCATATAGTTTTTCTCCCACTGTCCTCATCTGGAGGCTGAAGCTGTTTTGGCGAGGGTTGGGTTGGATTAGGTGCTCTGCTCCTCGGAGAACGAGCAGCAGGTAAAGCTTCAGGAGAGGATGCCCCCCACCCCATGGGCAATGCATTTGTCAGTGCACCCAGGAGGCCTGGGCAAAGCCCCCTCAGGGCAGGGACAGGACACTGACCCATGAAGGGCCTTAGCGTGGAGTCCGGTGACCAGCCGTGGCTCCTCTGGTGGCTTGGGCAGTGTTGTTTGCCTCCCAAAGCTCGACTGAGCCTCATGTCACACAAGACCAGTGCTACCAGATGACAGAGGCTTGGAGGAGCCTTGGCCTGGGAATGCACGGGAGCAAAGGGGGCTGGAAGAGGACGTGGCATGGGAGTAACTGGCGACAAAATGCAGAGTGTCCTGGGGGCAGAAGGGGTTCTTAGAAGAGGTCTTTTAGTCTGACCCCCTTGAGCCTGAGTCTGGGGTGACTGGAGAGAGCTTGGAATGACCCATTTCCCTAAATTATCACCTTCAACGAATGGTCTCACAGCCCTGAGATTCCACACTCAGCGCTTTCTGCCTTTGAGTTAAACATCGCCCTGTCTAGCAACTTCTTTGAAAATGTGAGCTTACCTGGGGCCATGGAGTCACCAAGACCTGAGTGTGAGGGAGTCCGGACCCAGTGAGGAGCAGGTAGAGGGCGCCAGGCTGGGAGAAATTGAAGAAAGAGGTATCACAAGTGGGAAATTAGGAAGAGGGTTTTTGGCAACTCACTGGTTTCAGCTACAGCTGGACCTCAGAGAGGCAGCCTCCGTGGGGAACTGGACTTACCAGGGGCCTCAGATCTCTGCTTTTATCAGTTAGGAGAGCCTCGCTGCTGTAACAAGTGACCTATCCCCAAATTCAGTGGCTTTAACACGATACAAGTTTATTTCTTACGGAACAAAATTGTAACTTATGGCACAGTCTAAGGCGGGGTGGGGCCCTCGGTTCCACACACTCATTCAGGGTCCCAGTGTCCTCCTCTCCTCACTGCTCAGAGGCCCTGAGCGGGGAGGGGACGAGAGCAAATACCGCACACGGGACATCGGTATGTGTCAGGCTTGGCGGTGGCTCTCACCTCTTCCTCATTCCACTGGCCAGGACTCGGTTACCAGGCCACACCTGATTATTACAAGGGGGAGTACTCTAGCTGTCTGCCCAGGAGGAAGAGGCAAACAGCAGTTCCTGACACACTGGATCCCTCTCCTTCCTTTTAGAAACGAATCAGAGCACAGTTTGGGCCATCAGGAAGGTTCCATAGAGGAGGTAGCGTTGGCTCTGGCCTGGAAGGATGGGAGGCTTCTCCCCAAGATGGGTGGGTGTGTGTGCAGAGGTACAGAGGTGACCCTTATACCTAGACTCTTCCCTGCCCCCACCTCTCATCCCCAGGTGCAAGTCTCCAGGCATAAGGGGACGGGGCTCATCCTACCAGCTGACTCAGGCTGGAGCAGCGTAATTTGGGAGGAATAAGGAGGGTAGTGTACCCCAGATTTCTCAGGCTACCTGGCCTGCACAAATGAGCACACATCTCATCTCTTTTCACAAGGACAAAAGGAGGTCATTTTGTGAGTCGGGAAGGTACTTCTATAGCCAGTAATTACATATTCACTGGGGAAATGTAATAAAAATCATTCCTCTCTTCATTTACTTAGATGTGATTTTTCTGCAGTCATTGTATAATTACTGGTATTTTTCAGTAACATTAAGAATAAATGGGCCACCATTTCTCCATCGCCATACAGATTCAACTGTGAGAAGAGCCTCATTAGACAAGGAGAGTGGGGAGGCCATTATCTTGGAGAAGACTCTGGGAAGGCGCAGGGCACATTTGTCAGGTTATTTGGGACAAATGGTACCAAAGCCATTGGCTGGTGCTGATGGAATGGTTTGCAGCTGTCTTCAGCATTGGGCTTTCTTCTCAGCCCTCACGCTCACACCTCCGAACAAAGCATCTCAGAGAATGTAACCCCTGTGCTCGGCTGATGGCAGACCCACCTGCAATCTGAAGCCCAGGGGCAGGGCCCCAGAAAGGAACAAGCTGAGTGCACAGTTTAGAACGTCTCGTGCTGTGTCCTTTACCCCAGCTCTCCCCTCTCCTAGGTGCCTGGGATGGAGATCGATATGCTTTTTCCCAGAATATCACTTAAAATGGCAGGGACTGTTTCAAAAGAACAGATCTGGGACCACTTTGAACTGCCCATGCCCAACACTTGCACAGCTGTTCCTAAGGCTCTTAAATTATTCACAAAGAACACGATATGAATTGCCCTCGGGGAGCGGAACACTGTGTACAGCTGCTCGAGTTGTGCACTGCTCAACTCTGGGTGGGAGGGTGCCACTCACACAGACTCCAGTGTGTCCCAGCTGCAGGACTGTAGGTGGGTGGCCCTGCTTCAGAATCTTGGACATAATGGGAGGCAGCTAGGAAAACCCCTCTCTGGTGCTGCCAGGCTTTCCCTACTCCAATGAATCAAATGTGTTCCAGACTTCTTGTCAGTTGCCAATATAAAGGCAATGCATTTGGGTGGCAGGGGCTGGGAGCCATCGACTGGGCTTTGTGGCCTGGGCAAAGCCATGCCATGAACTGCCCCTCAGTCAAAAATCACTCCTGCCCTACAATCAAAAGAGGTGAGTGGATAGTACAGTCTTCTCCTCTGGGAAGTGAGGACTCCTGGAGCCTAGAGGAAAAACCCTCCTGAGAAATACAAATCTGAGGCTCTCAGGGAAAGAAGAGTGTCTGAGTGGGCCTAGAGGGCCAGTGGGAGGGAAGATGGTAGCCTTTGTTGCAAGAGCAAGGTTTAGAGCCTGCAGGTTTAGAGAGCCTGGTACCAAACTCTCAAGCTGGACAAGCAAGCTGGTGCTTAGAGTTTATTCTTTTACTTAGAATCATCTCATCTCCATCGAGCCTTTTCTTCATGCCAGGCACTGTGCCAATGCATTGTATCATCTCATTCGATCTTCACGGGGACACTTTGAGGAAGGTACTTCTGTGATCCTCATTTTGTTTTGTTAAAAAAATTTTTTTGAACTTGTTTTTTTAATTGAATGTGGTCCCCATTTGACAGATGAGAAAACTGATGCATAGAGAGGTTCAGTGATTTGCCTAAGATTACACAGCGTTCTTTTTGTGGTGAATCTGGGCTTTGAACCCAGTCTTTCTGGCCCACGGCCTCATTTCTAACCATTATGCTCATCTGGGTTGAAAGTTAATTGAACAATAGCAAATGAGATTGGAGGAGGTAGATGTGAGATGGGTAGATAGAGCTGTCCCAAACATCCTGATCTAGCTGTCTGTCTTTCAACTCCTTGACATCCTTCCCCCACACTTTCCACCTCCTCTCATGCTTTTTCATGCCGTACCCTCCCTTCCAACCAGGCCAATCCTTAAACCCCTGTCTCTGGGCAGGGGGTCTAGTTCCCAGATCCCCACTTTTTTATGTCCATCCCTGCCAGGTTCGAATCCCTTTCAGATTCGGTGCCAAGTTCACTGCCTTCAAAAAGCCTGCACAGGCTCATTTCAATCATTTATTTCTTCAATACTGTTGAAAACCTATTTTGCATCAGGGAGCATTCTTAGCCCCAGGATGCAAAAATGAAGGAGCCACGGACCCTATCCTTAAATTATTCACTATTTGGGGAGACAGACCGGTAAATAGAATAGACACAGAACGGATTAGACGTCCCTAAGACAGCAGCTCTCAAGCTTAACGTGCCAGTGAATCACCTGGGGATCTAGTTAAAAGATCCAAATTGGGCCTGATGGTCTGCCTTTCCATCAGGCTCCCAGGTGATCCTGCTACGGCTGAGGACCACGCTTGGTGAAACAAGACCCCCCAGGATTTCAGATGCTATGATAAGAAAGTACACCTGGTGCTGGGGGGAGGGGACTCAAAGAGGGAATGGGAGTCTGGGAAAGGGCTGAGGCCTTAGCCGAGACCTGACCAAAGCTGAGGGGATGTGAGCTGTCACCTCTCGGAAAAGAAATGCATTCAAGAGAGCATCAAGGGGCCAGGATGGTCCTAGTCTATCCCAAAGTAGGTAATTCTGTCTACTCTGCCTTGATTTGCTCTGACAAGTTGCTGACTTCCAGGAATTGTGGGGTTGGGCTAGGAGTTGGGCTAAGGTCCTTTCCAGCTCTAACAGTTTTAGGAGTCTGTGATTCCCACCAAAAAAAGCAGACTACTTCCATTTTGTGGACCAGCCCTAGAGCCTGGTAGATAGAGGGACCTTAGAAAGGACCATTTTGTGGACCAGCCCTAGAGCCTGGTAGATAGAGGGACCTTAGAAAGGACACAAGTCAACCCCTTCATCTTGCAAATGAGAAAACAGTTCCCAAGACAGGCTGGGAGGGGTGGACGTGGGGTTAAGTTTTCAATCACATGGTGGGTCAGGGCCCAGACCCCAGAGTTCACAGTGACCAGGCCTGGGCTCCTGCCTTTAGGGCCCCGGTGTCCTGTACAGTTCCGGGGTGAGGGCGGCTCCATTTCATCACGTTTCATGTAAAATCCTCCTCCAGGGAGTCGCCCCGCCTTCCATGATCCTGAGCTGCGGCTCAGAATGAGACAAATAACGAAATAACTCACCGGGGAAGAGTGACCTGAGCCCTTCGCGGAGGAGCTGGCGACAATCGCAATGAAGTATTCCTAGCCTCCGGATTAGGTTCTCACGAGGCAAATCACAGAGTCCTAGTATTAACCACCACAAGGACGTCAGCGCAAATACCAAGTCTTTCCCTCTTGCAGTCTCAAGTGATCCATGCGAGCAGTGCAGCTTCTCTGGTGTTTTAAGTGCAACAAAGGGCAGCTGGAACCTGTTTGGCCGCCAAGTGCATCGGCTGAGGGCGTGGCCGCTCTGGTGCTGGGACCTGACGCAGATGTGCAAATGCACCGCACACACGAGCACACAAGCACTCATGCACGTGCAGGTCCCATGTACGCGATCACACGCACCTGCACACACACCTTAGTGTTCAGCAGTGCTCAGGAAGCCAGCAGAAGGCACTGGGCACAGTGGTGCACCGCAAATGCCCATTTGGAACTCTGAAAAGCAAACTAGCTCAACCTGCAAGCTGCAACCCTATCCCTTTGAAAAATAAGCCCCACCCCTCCCCCAGACGATTAAACAGTCTCTCCTCACCCACTGTTTTAATTAATACCCGGCACAGATGGTGGATGGAAGGCCGAAGCCTGACTTGCATGAATGCAGAATTCCAATATGTCAACAAGCTTGCATGGCCATTGTGATCAGGACGTTTTGGTTCAATGAACAGATGCAGCAAGAAATGCCCATAAGCGCCGAGACAGTCTGGTGCTCATCTACAGCGAGGCAACCGTTTTCCCACTCCTGCCTTTGGTCCCCGTCCAAGCCAGTCATGCTGTGACAGAGATTAGAAGGCCCTGCCCCTTCCCAGCTCAACCAGCCAGTAGGCCTGCCACCCGCTGACTCCCTCCCCACCCATCCGGCGAGGCGCCCCACCCTCCAGGCATCCCCTTCAGCCACCTTGCAGCTCTGGCTTCCCCCTAGGGATTCTCTTGGCTTCACCAGTCAGGTTAATACACCCCAAACACTGCCTATCCAAAGCCAAAGGAAGGTGTAATCTTCTGCATCACAAGGGGCAGAATGTGGGCATTTAAAAAATAAGTTGCTTTAAATAAGATCATTGTGAAGTGAACTCTAGACCCTGAAGTGAGCTGGTTCTCTGTGCTGTTTAGGAATCAAAGCAGTAGATGCTCATTTCACTATTTCACAGGGGGAGGGGGAGGAAGAGATGTTATATAACGATCCTTGAGAAACCGAGAGAGAGACGGGGATGACGACTTCTCTCCTCTGCTGACCCCCAGGCAGGAGTGAATCAGCCTGTCAGCATCACTGTAAACTGTGAAGAGAGGCATTACAATAAACTCATGGGGGAGGAGATCTCTAGCCTGAAAAGTGGGAGGGTCAGTGTTAGTGGAAAACTAATTCCTCCCTCCTTTCTTCACAGCACAAATTAGACTGTGTCTGCCTAAAAACCCAGCTAACAGCCAATCTTCCACCTGCGTTCTCTGGGCTGTCTCTGGGTTCTCCAGTCTCTGGGCAGTAGTATCTTTCCGGGGTTCACCGATTTTTGATGGTGGCTGATGAAATACTGTCTTTGTCCTTCTGCTGAGGCAGACACAAGACCCCATGGGACTCTTGGGTGAGGAGGCCAGGGTGTGGATGTCCAGCCAAGATACTCGAGTGGGCCTGGGCTCACGTCTGGGGTCCCAGTTCCAGCAGCCCCATTCTCTCAGCTTTCACCGGATCAGAGCTGTGCATGAAAGGCTGGGGTGGGCTTTGAGGATCTGGGGATTCTGGGTGGTCCTAGAAAGAATTCCTCTAATTCTTCCCGTTCTCAGCTGAGTCATTGTATCCTTGGGAAGCCTTCTCTGATCTCCTGACCAATTCTCATCATACCATCAACCTCTCCTTCTTGGCACTTGCGATAGTTTCAGTTTACATTAATTTGTGCAACTGTTCATTTAATGTCTCTCTTCCAAGGAGCTGTCTGCTCCCTGAGGGCAGGTCAATTGATGGTTCTCACTCACCCTCGTGCCAAGCCCAGTGTCTGGCACACGGCTGACGCAATACATATTTTTCTGGCTGATGAATACATGATTGAAACTTTGGACCTGTTAAGGGTGCTTTGTCCTTGATCTCTTGAATTAGGCCTACTGCCACACGGGGGTGGGCTGGGCTGGGGAGAGGAGCTTTCCCTGTCGTTAACTCTTAGGCGAGGATTGTTCCCAGGCAGATGGGCTCAGGATGTGACAGCTGTGGTTATAGCAGACGAGTGTGAGCCTCAACCCAGAAGCTGGTCCTGGGAGAGGCCTGGGGACTGAGATCTAAGCCAAAGATGCAGGGCACTGACCAGGGAGGTGTCTGAACAGCTGGACACACTGACACTCTGGTCTAGGTTTCCATTTCATAAACATAATGATGAAGCAAGCGGGTTCAGCTTGAAGTCTGTGTTTTTAAATCTGTGATTTTCATATTATAAAATTAATGAAAGAAGAAGAAATCTAAGCAGACAGTAAGTAGATAAAAACCTCTTTAATAATCATGAAAATGCAAATTTAATTGAAAATGAGATACCATTTCCATTCATCAGCTCAGCAAAAAGGAAATGGTCTTACAGTGCCAGTATAGGTGAAGAGGTGGGGAGGCCTCTAGGCCACTGCTGGGAGATATATCGGTAAACTGCTTTGAGAGCTCTTTGGGGTTGTATGGTGGACCTTAAAATGTGCAGACCCAGGCACCCAGTGATCCATTTCTAGAGACATGTTCTAGTCTAGAGCAGTGTTTCTCAAACTGTAGCTTGCATCAAACCACCTGGAAGATTTGCTAAAACAGATCACCCAGCCCCATGCTGCGGTTTCTGGTTCAGTCTGGGGTGGCACCTGAGAATTTGCATTTCTACTAAGTTCTTAGGCGATGCTAATGGTACCGGTCCTGGAACCACACTTTGAGAACCACTGTTCTAGTTAAATTCTTGCTTATGTGTACAGGAAAGCATGCCCAGTGATGTTCATTGTATCATTTCTTATAGTAAAAATTAGAAAAAACCCCTGAAGTCCATCAGTGAAGGACTGGAGAAAGACATTGTAACATATTACATGGATTATTGTAGAGCAGTTAAGTGAATGAAATGACTATGTTTATTTCAACACAGATAGCTCTAGAAGGATAGAAGTTGCAGGGTGTTATATATAGTATAATATCATTTTATTGGTAGTTTAAAAACAATGTAAAAAATCCAATTCTATGTCATCAGTATAATACAGTTACCAAAATGTGGGCTGAATACACATCTAATCTATAAAATCTGTCGTCTTCGGCTTCCCTGGTGGCGCAGTGGTTGAGAGTCCGCCTGCCGATGCAGGGAACACGGGTTCGTGCCCCGGTCCGGGAAGATCCCACATGCCGCGGAGCGGCTGGGCCCGTGAGCCATGGCCGCTGAGCCTGCGCATCCGGAGCCTGTGCTCCGCAATGGGAGAGGCCACAGCAATGAGAGGCCCGCGTGCCGCAAAAACAAAAAACAAAAAACAAAACTAGACAGTCTCAATGCAGAAAAGTAGCACAGTAAAACAGAAATAAGGTCCCCTCTATGATCTCACCTGAAGTTAACCCCTGCTGCAGTTGAGCATGTATACTTCCTGTCTTTTCCCCCTACTTGTCTGGCATTTCGTTGGCTTCCATTAAGTCTCCATGGCAGTGGGGGAGGTGTTTAGGATGATAGTGCGCCAGGCTGGCTCTTACTGGTAGGGAAGCCCTGGCCCTCGTGCCCCCATCCTGGTTTACACACGGGCTGCTTCTGGCACTTCGAACTAGTTGTTTAACCTTGATCTTAGTTTCTCCCTCTCACAATGAGCCAAATGCTTGACTCTGGGGAGACAGTCCCTCTGCCTGGGGCATTATCTTCTGTGTAAAAGAAGACAGTCGACTTGAAGATATTAATAGTTCTAAACTCTCTAAAGAGTATCTGGACAGCAGGTCGCAACACATCTGAGATAATTCAATTTTTACAGAAGCTATTTCCATTAATCATTTATTATTATTATTATTATTATTATTATTTTTTGCGGGCCTCTCACTGTTGTGGCCTATCCTGTTGCGGAGCATAGGCTCCGGACGCGCAGACTTAGTGGCCATGGCTCACGGGCCCAGCCGCTCCGCGGCATGTGGGATCTTCCCGGACCGGGGCACGAACCCGCGTCCCCTGCATCGGCAGGCGGACTCTCAACCACTGCGCCACCAGGGAAGCCCTCCATTAATCATTTATTAATGGCTCTCCCAACTGAGGCAATTAAGTAGACCTAGGATTAAGAAGAGCCCATATTCATTTCACATCTGTGTAATTACCCTGCAGTTCATGGATCCTGGAAGAATGTGAAAAATGGACTCTAGTCTTTTCCTTTGTACTTTGCATTTCTCTCTGGGTTTGGTTTCAGCCCCAAAAGGAGGCAGCCTCTGAGGGGGTGGGGTGTGCATGCGTGCATATGTGTGTGTGTGACACCCGGTGGTCCAGGCTCAGAGGGGACGGGCACTGACTGTGAAATCTGAGGAAGGCTTTGGGGGTGGGGGCAGGAGCCAGGGCAGGGCTGCTTGAGGAATGGGGAGCCCAGAGAAACCGAGCCTGTCTTCTGGGATTTGAGGGTTAGAGGTAGGGAAATAGAGTAGCAGCCTCCTGGACTTGTCCCAGAAAAGGCAGCAGGGAGCATGCTGACCCTGAGCTGAAGAGCAGGGGACAGCAGGATGGACTGGAGGTCACAGGGCACCTCCTGTCTGCAGGCAGTGTTGGGTACTTTAGCTGTGTACTCCCATTAATCCTCCCCAAACTCTGTACATTAGATATCAACATCCATATTTTAGACAAAAGGAAATTAGGGCTCAGAGAGGCTACGTGACTTGCTCCAAGTCACACAACTGATGAGCGGCAGAGCCAAGGCTGGAGTCCAGCTGTGCTGACCTCAGTGTCTTGGCACTTCCCCTGAGCCACACAGCCGTTGTCATGCAGCGTAGCCTGGCACACTCCAAGATTCTGCCACGGAAGCAGAAAAGCCAAACAATGTGGATTTTCCACTGCCCTGGGAATAAAGCACTCCTGTTTTTTCTTCCGAGGAATAGAGATTGTAATGAAAGAATTTCCAGGGAATCCAGTGGAGCTGAGAAAGGGGAATTCTTACCCAACGTCCCTTCCGAGGGCAGGTCCTGAAGATGGGAACTGATTGCTGCTCTCCAGCAGCCCTTCCCACCAAAACACTTGAGTCCAGGGAGGTTATTTCCAGCCTGTGTGACCTTGGACACCTGTCAGCTTCCTCCAGCCTGGAGCAAAGGTTGGAGGCAGAAAGGTGGAAAGCAGGGTGTGAGCAAGTGAGGGGCAGAAAGGGCAGCTGGACCTAGAGC